CGGGGTGATGACGAGCCGCGGGCGCCCGTCCTCGATGCGCACGGGCTGGATGGCGCCCGACACCGAGTCCGAGTAGACAGGGCGCAGGCTGACGGGCAGCCAGCGCGGCGAGAACAGCACGTTCCACGTCACCCTCTTGCCGGCGTCGTGGCTGCTGGGGCCCAGCTGGGTCTGGAAGCTGGTGCTGCGGTCATCCCGTGCCGGGTTGGTGATGACCCACTGGGAGCCCCAGCTGGGTGCGAGGTAGTTGCGGGGCAGGAACATGCTGCAGTTGACGTCGAAGTACTTGGCGAAGTGGAGCGGGGAGGCGGCGTGGAACTGGAAAGCCTGGAAGAGCAGGTCCTGCACCGCGCCGCGGTGCCGCGCCAGCACCGCCGACTGCGCCTGCAGCCGGAACAGCTGGCTGGGCGCGATCATGGGGTAGCGGATGGCACGCAGCACCCGCTCGGCCACGGGCGCCTCGGGCTGCCGGCGGCTCAGCCAGCCCTCCACGGCCGTGTAGAGCTCCAGCTCGCTGTGCAGCACCAGGTCGGAGCGCTCCAGCAGCAGCAGCAGCAGCTCCACGCTCACCGAGCCCCACTCGGCGCTGCCCAGCACCGCCGACAGGTTCCAGGCCAGGAACTGGAGGCAGCTCTCCTGCAGCGCCGCGTCCCCGACGCGCACGGCGTAGTGGTACCAGCCCACCACATGGCCCTGGCTCGACTCGCTGGCCAGGTGGCTCCTCATGTACTCGGCCACGCCGCGCTGCAGCCCCCAGACCCGGTACTTGCTGGCCAGCTGGTGCAGGGGGATGGCTTGGTGCAGCAGGATGGACACCCCCCCGCAGTACAGGTACCTGGGGGGAGCGTGGGCGGTGACGTGGGGACCCCCACTCCAGCAGTGCAGTTCCCAGGAGAGCAGCCTCTGTCCTGGGCTGCGCCCCTCTGGGTACCCCCATCCCTTGGGTCCCCGTGGTCCCCAGGGCAGCATTCTCCCTTCTTGGATGCATTGCTCTGGATATCCCCATCCCTCAGTGCCCCATGGTTCTCAGGGGAGCATCCATCTTTTTTGGCTGCATCCCTCCAGGTAAAGCCCATCTCACAGGACCTCCATGGTCCGCAAGGGAGGATCCTCCCTCCTGGGCTGCATCCCATTTAACATACCTGTCCCATGGGGTCCCTGTGGTCCCAGAAGGGAACATCCCTTTCCTTGGCAACATCTCTCTGGGCATCCCCATCCCATGGAGTTCCCCATGGTCCCTAGGAAAGCTGCATCCCCCTGGGGGACATCCCCATCCCACTGGGTCTCCAAGGGAGCCACATCCTCCCTGAGATCCCCATCCCACGGGGCCCCCACGCACCTGATGAACTTGTCGAAGAGCGCGGCGGTCTCGGGCGGCTCGTGCAGGGTGACGACGCTCTGGTTGCGCAGGAGGCTCTCGAACACCTCGCTCTGGAGGCTGAGCAGCAGCTGGTGCGTGTGGAACACCTTGGCCTCGTCGGAGGCGGCCGAGCGCACCCGCAGCACCGAGTCACTGCCGTTCCCGTTCTGCAGCAGCTCCTGCAGCCGCTGCAGCAGCGTCAGCGAGTGGTTGATGGTGGCAGCCGTGGTGTCCCCGCTAAGGTCGGCTTTTTGGGCTGTGGGGAGATGGGATCATCCCAGTGCTGCACCCCAGGCGGCCCAGGGGACCCAGCTGTGGGGCGGTGTGGGGTTACCTCCTGCTCTGCTCCCCCAGTGCCAAAGGGCTGGTTGGTGCCAAGGGGGTGTGGGAGGACAAAGGGACATGGGGACGTTTGTGTCCTTGAGAGCCAAAAAACTGCCTTCCTGCAGCAGAAGGGCTGAGACCACCATGTCCCAGGCTGGGACGTGCTGGGAAATGGCCGGGTGCCGGCGGCACTGGCTCACAGCCCGGTCTGCCCTGTCCCTGCTGTGGGCACAGCAAGCCCCGGGCATTGCCACAACCCCCCACATCCCCAGTGGATACACGGGGGTATGGAGAGCCCATGGGTGTGGGGAGCCAGGCATGCTCGGCCCCACTCCCAGGGGGGGTGGGGGTCCCGTGGTCCGAGCAGCCCTGGGGTCACTGCGGGTCTGTGCTGGGATCCCAACAGGGCCTGGAGAGGGACCGGAGAATGTGGGATGGGGCTGTCCTGTGGGCATTGAGAACCTTCCTCCCTCTCCTCTTCTCCCTCCTGGCACAACTCCCACAGGCTCCCCAGAGCATCCTTCCCCCAGGAGGAATTTGGCCCCATCTGTCTCAAATCCATCTTGCCTCTCAAATCCCATCTTGCCGGCGGATTACCCTTCCCGGTGCCGGCTTAAGTCTGGCTGAGCAGGGCTGGGGAAGGGGAGCAGGATCCCTGCGCCCCGCAGTGCTACCCACAGCTCCGAGCCCTTCCCTGAGCACAGCCCGGCTCCGAGGGGCACGGCCACGAGGCACAGCACGTCCAGGAGCCACTCGCATCCCTCCCAGGCACCCCGACGGCTGCCGGAGAGCCCGTGGGCACCATCCCTGGCTGAGCTGCACCCCGGCACCCACCGGGGCCAACAGGAATTCCTGCTCGGGGACCCTCCCCGCACCACAGCCGCCCTTACCGGCTTGCACGGTGAGGAGGAGGAGGAGGAAGGCGGCGGCGCAGCCCCAGCGCCGGGCGGCCACGGGCCGGGCGCCCGTCAGCCTGGCCATGGCGTCGCAGGCGCATCTGCCGGCTCTGGCGGGGCACACGCTGCCTGCCCGGTCCTTATGTAGGACACGCGCCCTCCCGGCCCTCCCAGCCCGCGCCGACACATCGATTGGTGGAAACTGGGACCGGCCGTTGCCAAGGGAACCGCTCCCAGCCTCCCTCCATCCCACCCTGACCCCCCGCCCCAGCCCCGCACCCCGGGGTGCTGTGGCGGGGCGCCCCGGTGGGCTGTGGCGCGGCACGGGGATGTCACCGTGTGCCACCTGCTCCTGCCACTGGCCACGCCGGAGCCCCGCGCGCGGCCCGCGGCCCTTTGTGCCGGCAGCGGGGTCTTTGCATTCAGGGCACAGCTCGGTGGCCTCCCGCTCCCCCGGCTCATGGGTATTCATGCCGGCAGCAGCCCATCACCATGGCATCCGGGCTGCCGGCAGGAACTGCCTGCCCTTTTCCCAGTCTTTGCAGCCAAGAGGCCGCCCGTGCACCCTGGGCGGCCTCCGATGGCCCCTCGCCCACCCTGACGCCTCTGGAGGGACTTCATCGCGGGGCTGGGGTGGCGTTTGCCCCCCAAAAGCCCCAGTGCCACGTGCTGGGGCTGGTGTGATGCTGGCACAGGCTGAGGGTGGTGCTGGGTGCCCCCACCCCGCTGCCAGAGGTGAGTACCCCACTCTGACTGTGGCCCCGGTGGCATCAGGGAGTGGGGAGCCAGAACTGGGACCCCAGATGGGACACAGACAGGGGTATAGACCCCACAAGATGGGGGCAGCCCAGCTCACATGGGCACAGCAGCCCCTTACCCACAGCCAGGGCTCCCCCAGCACTGTGCTCAGCCCAGAGACCTTGCACCAGGTCACCTCGAGGGGCAGTGCCTGGACCCCCCACTGCTGGGGACACATCCAGGGAGACACTGAGACCTCGGCAGTGCCAGAGCCATGGGGGTGATATGAACCATTCCCAGTTCTTGTGTGTTGGGTCCAGCCTGGTGCGCTCAGAGCTGGTGCCGCCGGTGCTGCCGCAGGGCCGGGGGTCCTGTGGTGCCAACGGGGGCTTCTGAGGACACGTTTGGGCTCACGTGGGTCACAAGGCTGAGGAGCCCCGTCCCACTGCACAGCCAGGCTGGGACACGGGCTTAGATGGAACATGTGGGAGCTGGTGAGCGTGGGCAGATGTTGCCGCAGCTGCCGAGGGGGTGGGAGCAGCATCTGGCCTTGACACACAGGGCGAGGGGCTGGGGACAAACCACCCAGCCACCCCCGTGCTGTGCTCCCAGGGCTCACCATCCCCTCGCAGGGACAGGCAGGTCGGTGATGCCGTACTGGCCATGGGGCTGGGGCTCCAGCCCTGTCCCCTCGTGGGGCTGGGGACCCCCATAAGTGTGGTGCCAGCAGAGTGCCCAGCCCAGGTGGATGTCCCTTCACCGTGGTGGAGCGGGGGGTGGGGGCCCCGCTGTGGCACAGCCGGTTCACGGCTCACTGCGTCCTCTGACGCCTCATTTCACCCCCACCTGAAAAAACAACAGCTTGTGGCAGCGTGTGCCCGGTGAACCACCGTCACTGTGCCAGCCTGGGCAGCACCCACAGCCCAGGGACCCCCTCGTCCCCCACGGGGGCATCGGCCGGTCATGGGGTGAGGTGCCCAGAGGCCATAGGGGGCACAGGGGACTGTGGGGCTGCTGTTGGGGGGCACCAGGGGACAGAGTGACATTCCCCAGCCCCCAGTGAGGTGATGCAGAAGCTACGCTGGCCCGGAGATTGCAGCTGAGGTAGTGCAGGGCTGGCTCACCATAGCGACCTGTGCCAGGCAGCACTGCCAGGGCAGGCTGGGGGGCACCAAGGGGGTGGGAGTCTCCTCAGTGACCCCAGGGACAGGCAGGGGACACCAACCAGCTCACCCCTCTCTGTGCTGCTGGGGAAACTGAGGCACGAGCAGAGTGTCCTGGCAGTGGGCACTCGGGAACAGCCTGGGCAGAACCCAGCGGGGACACAGGGGCAGCATGTGGATTCACAGTTGTGTGCCACTCGCACGTCACACCCTGTGCACACATCCTGTCCCCAGACGTGGCCGTGGACCCTGGACCCGCTTTTCCCCAGACCACCACCCCTATTGCTCCTGGGTGGGGATGAGCTGTGCCACAGCCACTCAGAGCTTCCCAGGTGAGCCCTTCCCTGGCCCCCACAGGAGCTGCCGGGCCCGGTGACGTCCTTGTGCCCCACCAGCCCACCCCGCGGCTCTGCCCGTGGCTCTGCCCACACTGCTCTCCCTCCACCCCGTGTCCCGCGCCCCGGGAGGCTGTGACATGCTGTGGGTGCCGGAGGGGACACGGGCACCGACAGGGACACGGGCACCGACAGGGACACGGGCTCCAGAGAGGAAACAGCCACCGGTGGGGACACAGACGACAACCGGGAAACAGCCACCTGCGGGGACAGACACCAGTGGGAACACGGACACTGACAGGGACACGGACACCGGAGGGGACACGGACGCCGAAGGGACACAAACAGCAACAGGGACACGAACATCAGAGGGGACACAGACACCAACAGGGACACGAACAGCGACAGGGACGTGGACACTGACAGGGACACGGCCACTGAGTGGGACACGACCACCAGTGATTCTCCGGGCCCAGGAAAGGTGGCACCACACGCCCAGTGAGTGGCACTGGGGCCACCGAGGTGTGAGTCCCTGTCCCGCAGGGTTTGGGGCGTGGGACCCCGGGCTGGGAGGGCAAAGGAGGGCCCAGAGCAGACTCGCCCCCCCAGCAGCACAAAGGGGATCAGGGCTGGGAAAGGGTTAAAGGCGCTCCCGCCGCGGCTGCAGCCGATCGATGCCCCAGTTCCACGGGGGATGTGGAGGGACGGGACTCGCTCCTGCTGATTAGCCGGAGCTAATTTGAAGTTAATTGGCACCCCTCTGCTCCTCCATCCTCCGCTTCTTCCCCCCCGGGCTCTGCTCAGGATTGGCACTTCTATCCCGGCCGAGGGTCGCAGGGCCGGGGGGGTGGGACCCCCAGGATCCCACACACTCCTCGGGCACTGCTGGGGGAGCAGATCCATCAGTGGGGGTCCTGGAGAGAGACCTGACTGCCCCCCCACCCCAGAGCCGTCGGGGGTCTGCGGTGACTGGGCCTGGAGCAATTTGGGGGCCCCGTGGGACTGGAAGCTGAGCAGTGCCCAGTAACACCACCGCCCCCCCAGCTCAGGACCCCCTCCTGCACCCTCTAGCCCCCGACCCCTGGCCCCCCTCAGCATCCCCCGAACCCAGGACCCCCCTGCACCCCGCACACCCCTGAGCTCAGGACTTCCCCCACATCCCCGATCCCAGGACCGCCCTGGACCCCGCACCCTCCTCCGGCACCGGGACCCGGGGGTCGTGGTACCCTGGGAGATGATAATTTGGGGGGGATTCTGACCAATCAGAACGCAGCGCTCAGCCCTGGCCCCACCATCCTTGGAGAACTCCTCTCTGATTGGGTGAGGCCTAATTCCCTTTATCCAATAGAAGCGCAGGTCTCGGGAGGGGGCGGAGCCGGCCGACTTCATGAATGGACGAGGGCAGCGTGGGCACGATCCGGGCACGGGGCGTGGGCGTGGGGATACGGGCAGGGATAGGGCAGGGATAAGGCAGGGATCGGGCAGAGATAGGGATACGGATACACATACGGATAGGGATGCGGATACAGATAAGGATACGGGCAGGGCCGTGGGCAGGGCCACTGCCAGATGCCTCTGGAGCTGGCTCTGCTTCCTCGGCCTGAGGAGCTGGCAAAGGACCACGCTGGCAGCCTGGAGATGGGCACTCCCCTTTTGGCAGAGCTGAGGCCCCCCCCTTTGGCACTTCTGGGTCCTCCCAGTCACCACTGGGACCCAGCGAGTGCACTCAGCCCGGGCTGGGGGCCAGAGCCTCCCCCTCCTGGCAGATGCCCAAGAACATGGTGTTTTAACCTGATGTTCTACAAAAAAGGGGCTGGGGGATAAAGAAGGAGCAGCTCTGGTGGTGGGAGCTCAGCCTGGACATGGCACAGGGGGCTCGGGGTGCGTTGCCTCTGTTGGGAGCAGCAGCCCCAAGTCTGCCTGCGATGGCACATTTTGGAGCTGCCCACTGTCCATGGATGCTGCAGGACAAGGATCCAACCCACTGGGGACACTGGTGTGACGGTCCCTGTCCCCCAGCCCCCAGTGCCATGTCATGGCTGACCTCCTGCCCAGGTACCACCAGGATCCTCATCCCCCTGATGCTCCCGTCTCCCCTCACAGCCGATCCCTGGCAGAAGATGACGGTCCCAGTGCCCAACAGCACGGCGGTGTCGTCGGCTGGGGTGGCAGCACAGCTGGAGCCAGATCCGGAGCGGTCACCCTGCCTGGTGGGCATTGTCCCCATCGTGTACTACAGTGTCCTGCTGGGGCTGGGGCTGCCAGGTGAGGGGGCTGGGGGGGCAGGGGGTGCAGGGGCAACACCCACCTGGGTCTGAGCCTCTCCGAGGGGTGCTGAGCTCTGTGCCCTCGGCTGTTGGCAGAGCCTCAGCTCCTGTGCCAGCCTTCCATCACCCCAGGGAGTTTGGGGATGGGGAGGAGAGTTCTCAGGGTGGGGGAACCAAACCTGCTCCCCCCGCCCTGGCCTCAGATCCAGCCCCAGTGCCCGGCTGTGCTGCCCAGCCCCAGGGCAGGTGCCACCACCACAGGGACAGATGGTATTTGTGTTGCTTGGGCTGACACACAGAAGAGATTAATCAGCTCAGCAAATCCCCATGGCACTGGGATATTTATAGCTCCCCCCCAGCTGGAGCCCGGGCACCCCTGGGGTCCCAAGTGCTGCAGGGGGGGTCTCACCACCACCCATCGCTCCCCTCCCTCCAGTGAACATCCTGACCGCTGTGGCCCTGTCCCGCCTGGCCACCAGGGCCAAGAAGTCATCGTACTGGTACCTGCTGGCCCTGACCACCTCCGACATCCTCATCCAGGTCTTCATCATCTTCATGGGCTTCATCCTGCAGACGGCCATCCTGGCCCGGGCGGTGCCCAGCGCCTTCATCCACACCGTCAACGTGCTGGAGTTCACGGCCAGCCACGCCTCCACCTGGGTCACCGTGCTGCTCACCGTGGACCGCTACGTGGCCCTGTGCCACCCGCTGCGCTACCGCGCCGTGTCGTACCCGCAGCGCACGCGCAGGATCATCGCGGCCGTGTTCGCCGCCGCCCTGGCCACCGGCATCCCCTTCTACTGGTGGCTGGACGTGTGGCGTGACGCCGACCCGCCCACGGCGCTGGACACGGCGCTCAAGTGGCTCCACTGCGTCACCATCTACTTCCTGCCCTGCAGCATCTTGCTGGCCACCAACTCCATCATCATCCTCAAGCTGAAGCGGCGGCGGCGCGCGGGGGGCGGCAAGACCACGGCGCTGCTCCTGGCCGTCACCACCGCCTTCGTGGTGCTCTGGGCCCCCCGCGCCGTCGTCATGATGTGCCACCTGTACGTGGCCTCGGTGAGGAGGGACTGGCGCATGCACCTGGCCTTGGACATCGCCAACATGGTGGCCATGCTCAACACCTCCCTCAACTTCTTCCTCTACTGCTTCGTCAGCCAGACCTTCAGGCGCACGGTGGGTGAGGTGCTGCGGGGGCACCCCCGGCATGGCCCCCCCTGCCGGGGCAGTGGCCACTTCCCACCCCCAGCCCTCAAACCGCTGGAGCTGTTGGGTGGCACCGCGCTCTGAGCCAGGGCAGTGCCTGGCTGGGGGTCCCAGTGCCCACCCAGCCCCACCCATCACACCAGGACCTGGGGAGACCTCCACGGAACCAGAGTTAATGCTGGTGGTGGCAGGAGGAGGTGGTTGTGCCCAGCCCCTCATTTTGGGCCCTTGGGGTGCCCTGCCTGGTGACAGCATCCCAGGATTCCCCGCCCGCTCTCTGAGCCCCACCAGGATGGGCAGCTCAGCCCTATCCATGCTCAGGACACAGAGCACTGGGACCCCCAAGAACTCATCCAGGATGTGCCCCAGCTCGGGTCCTGGGGAGCACGGGGGCACAGCTGCCTGTGGTGAGGGGTGGTGGGCACAGCTGAGCTCCTGTAAGACCTGCAAGGACATAGTGACCACTGGGAGCCCATGGGATGATCCTTCTGCCATAAACTGCCGTGCTGAGACCAGAACTCCACCTGGGTCTGGCTCCCTGTGGGCAGATGGGACGGGGACACCCTGCTCCAGCACCCCTGGCACGGGGTCCCTCTGCCCTGCCCACCCCGGTGCCCCTGCCCTGCTGCCCGGGGGGTGCTGCAGGGAGCACCCACGAGGTCCAGTGACCCCAGCTGTGGGGCCTGGACACATGGTAAGACCCCAGCTCCTGGCCCCTACCTGACAACCCCTGGGGGTGTCCCTGCCAGGCTGCAGCCCCCGCAGGGCACCCAGGGTGTCCCCCAAACACAAGGGTGCAGCATCTCCCACCGGCTGCAGGGGAGGGGGCTCACGATGCCTCCCTGCATGGGGTGCACCCAGTTACACCAGTGCCAATCTGGTGTGACGCTGGGCCCAGCTGCCACCAGAGGGCAGGGATGGGACACTGAGGAGCTGGGACTGCCTAGAGGACAGGAGCTGGCACCCCCAGCCCCCCAAACCAGCCCTGTCCCCACCCTAATTCCCCATAAGTTCCTTAGTGTAATCCCCCCAAACAGTCCAGGCTTTCCGCTCCGATTCCTGAGACCAAGCAGGACAGACCCTGGGGGGTGCTGGGAGGGGGGCAGGGGCTCAGCTGGCCCTGGCAGGGCACACAGGCATCCCCCCAAACCCCATTGACCCCCCCCGCCAACCCCGCCGAGCCCCGGCTGTGCCCACACAGGGGTGGGATGGGGCGCAGCGTTTCCCGGGGATGTGGGGCTGACCCACACACGCCCTCAACCCTGCCTTCGCACCCGGATCATTGCCAGCGTGGACAGAGCCCTCCAGGGATGTCACCGCATCCCAGGCCGGATCCACACCGGGGCACAGGGTTAAAGCCCGACCCGGTGGCGCGGGGGGTACCTGGGAGGTTCTCGCTCCATTAATTCTGGCACGTGAGGAGAGCAGGACCGGGAAGGGATTAGTTATTAACCCGGCGGGCAGGGGCTGAGGGGCCGCGGGCCAGGGGGCTCGGCTGACACAGGAACCCTCGGCGAGAGCTCCAGGATTGCCTCCGGCGCCCCCGATTTCCACCAGCCCCCCGTGCCAGCCGGTGCGTATTTATTTACTTGGCAAAGGAGGTGGAAATGTGCTGACGGCGTCAGGGGCTCCGGTGGAAACGGCTCCGAGCCCCGGCCGGGGCTGCGGGAGGCGCTGGGAGGGCGACAGGGACCCCCCGGACCGCCGGCTCCAGGGACGGCTCTCGCCTTCCCGAGGGGAGCCACCGCGGAGACAGGGCTCAGCCAGCGGTGCCACCGTGCCAGCCGCCCGTCCCTGCGGCTCCTGAGGAAAGGTAAGCCTGGAAAAAATGCGCCCGGCGTGTCGATGTTTTTGGATAGAGCCTGGCCGGGGTCCAGATCCCGGTGCTGAGCGGCATCCCAGCCCCTCACCATGGCCTCTGTGCTGGAAGGACCAGTTCTACCCAGTCCCACCACTGGGATTGTGGTTCCCAGCCCACCCAGGGCACCGGGAAACTGGGATCGGGCTCTGCCCATGCTGGAAGGTTCATGCCAGGGACCCACTGCCCCGGGAGGGGACCAAGGGCAGCGAGTCCTAGCACTCGGTGACATCACCCCCCACTGACCCCACAGCATGCTGGGGCATTTCTGTAGGACCTACAAAAACCCCAGGAGCAAACAATGGGGACTGGAAGCCTGGGAAAGGTCCCTACGGGAAAGAGGAGAGGAAACCATCTCTTGTGGGGGGGAAAATGAGGGTACCCCTGGGAAGGGGGGAGGAAATCACCCACCATGGGAGAATGTGAGGGTTCCCATGAGAAGAGGATGAGGAAATCACCCTCCATGGGGGAGGACACAAAGGCAAATGCAGGGCAGGCACAGGGCAGCCCCGGTGGGACAGATGCCTGCCGGTGGCCCCACAGGGGGTCACGGGGGTCTCGTGCTGAATCAGCAGCTGGGAAACCCTCCGGCGGAAGGAAGCAGCCGGTGGAGAGGCCGGGCTGCCGGTGTGGGGGCGGCAGGACAGCCGGCCTCTGCTCCCGGCACCGCTTATCCAAGGCTCAGCCTCGCCCAGAGAGTGGGGACTATCCAGTCCTGGAGTCTGCATTCCAAATCCCTGGGGGAACTGAGGCACAGGGGGCCACTACAGAGCCCCTCGCCTGCGCTGCCCTGCCCTGTGAGGGCAGGAAGGGATGATCCAACCCCCAACGCCATCCTGATGCCAAAGGCTCCTTAGGAAGAAGGGCAGGAGGGTGGCAGCGGTCGAAGCACTGAGCCTGGACACACCATCCCGTCCCCCCTGGCTCCGGTGGGTGCCAGTTTTTGTGCCACAGATGCTGCCGGCTCTGGCAGGTGCCAGTCCTTGTGCTGGCTCCTGCTCAGCCACCCTTTCTCCCCGGATTGTTTCCACCTTGGCCTGGATTGGGGCAGGACCTGCCAGAGGCACATTGAACTTTCCTCTGCATCCTTCGCCCTTGTGCTTCACCCTCCTGAAATAGCAGCATCAGCCTGGGAACCTCTCCCAGGGGTGCCCCAAATCTCCTGGGGCATTTCCCCATCCCCAGGGTCAGTGGGGTACCCCATCCCAGCTTCAGGGCTACAACCACCCCTGTCAGGACAGGGATCACCGAGCCCTGTCGGTGCCTCCAGGCTGGGGCTGCCCTGGCCCCAAGCCCTCCACAGGAAGGGCTTTTCCGGGGCTTTTCTGGGGTTTTCTGGGTCCCGCTGTCCTGCCAAGGGCTCCGGCTTTATCCGTCAGCTGACATTCCTCCGGGAGGCCCCTCCAGGCCTGTGTATCCTTACACGGCAGGGCTGCCTGCGAGCCCCGCTCCCGGCTCCCACCCCCGAGCCCACCGGAGGCCGGTGCAGGGCCCCCTGTGGGTGACACAGCCCCTCCTACTCTGTCTTTGTCCCTTGAGAATCCCTCCCAGTGGGCAGCGCTCAGCAGAGACAGGCTGACTCCCCCCAGACTCATCGCACTGATGACAGAGACACCTCCCCCCTACGCACACACAGACTCATCACACCGATGACCAGGTGGGCTCCCCCCTGCTCCACCCCCTCAGCCCGGGCTGTGCTCCCGCCCCCAGCCCCCTCCATGCCCCGGGGCGGGATCCCGGTGCCCCCGCCCGGTGCGGCGGGGCAGGTCCCGGCCGGCCCCGACCGCGCTCCCGGGGCTGAGCCGCACCTCGGGGAGGGGCCGGGCCGGGCAGGCGCACGGTGCGGCGGCACCGGGGCTGGCTCGGCTCGGCTCGGCTGGGCACGGAGCGGGGGGAGCGGAGCGGAGCGGAGCGGCGCGGCGGCCACCGGGGGCTGCGGCCAGTGAGTGGGGCTGGGGCGGGGGCGAGCCCTGCGGGGCTGGGGGGGCACCGGGAACCGCGACGGGAAGGGACCGGGTCCCGTCCGCCCCCTCAGTTCCTCCGGCCGGAGGGTCGGGGGCGGCTCAGGCGGAGTTTCGGCGCCAGGACCGGGCGAGAGCTCCGGAAAACACCGGGACGGTGCGGGATGGGTGTGCGCGGGGAGCGTGCGGGGGGAACCGGGGAGAGGGCGCGGGGGGAGCGGTGCGGGAGTGCGGGGGCACCCGGGCGGGGATGCGGGGGAAGCCAACGGGGGTGCAGGAGAACCGGTGGCGGGTGCAAGGGGAGCGGGACTGGAGTGCAGGGAGAGCGGGCGGGAGTTGCAGGAGGAGCTGGGCTGGAAGCGCGGGGGAGCCGGGCCGGGGGTGCGGAGGGACTGCGCTGGGGGTGCGGGGGTAGCAGCCGATCCCGACACGGTGGAGCCGGTCCGACCCGCGGGCACGGGGACTCTGTCCGACTGTGGTACCGAGATCCCTGTCCCCATCCCGGGGGGGTGCTCGGTTCGGGGTGCCCCTAGGGGAACAAGGGGTCCTGGCCCCGGAGTCAGCTTGCCGGGGGTGTCCTCCCCATTTCTTCCCCTCAGCAGTGGGGCTGCAGCTTCTCTGCTGCCTCCTCTTCCCTGTGCCCACTCCTGGGTGGCAGCAGTGGGGACAGGGACCGGGACCCCGTGCCATGCCGTGCCGTGCCGTGCCAGGCTGCGGCTGCCTACGTGCCAGTGGGCCGGACACGAGACCTGCACTGGGCCAGTGCCCGGAGCCAGAGGAGGGAAGTGGGACAGGAGAAGTGGAAAGAGGAACGTGGTGGCATGCAGGGACAAGGCAAAGGGTCAGCCCTGTCTTGCAGTATCACCTCTGCCATCCAGCCCAGGCCCACATTCGGGGTTCCCAGGAAGCCAGCGGGCACAGTGCTGCCTGCTCCTGGCACCAGTGGCAGGGATGGGCACAGCCCCCAGAGAATTCCTGTGTCAGGAGGGAACATGTGGGGCACAGAGATTTCCCCTCAGCTGCCACCAGCCTCCAGGCAAGGAGTCGATGGGGAACACTCGGCTCCCTGGCCCTGCTGGGGTGGGCTCAGCTGGGCCGGCACAGACAGGGCTTCCGGGACCTCACTCCTTGTCGTGGGATGGCTGGGGGGGGGCTGTGGGCAGGGATGCTCTGAGCCAGGAGCTGATCCATGTCCCCGGTTGCCATGCCCTGACCCTGCTGTGTCCCACAGGGTCCCTGGGTGCCGCGGTGCAGGATGGAGCCCGCGGCCGTGCTGCTGGCCCTGCTCCCCACGGCGGCCACACAGTCCACCCCACAGCCCACCCCACCCCCGGGCTGCAGCCAAGGCCTCTCCTCCCTCTACTACAACCTCTGCGACCTCTCGGCGGGCTGGGGCATCGCGGTAGAGGCGGTGGCCAGTCTCGGCGTGGTGACCACCTTCGTGCTCACCATCGTGCTGGTGGCCAGCCTGCCCTTCGTGCAGGACCCCCAGAAGAAGAGCCTGGTGGCCACGCAGGTCTTCTTCCTCCTGGGCACCTTCGGGTTGTTCTGCCTGACCTTCGACTTCATCGTGGGGCCGGATTTCTCCACCTGCACCTCCCGCCGCTTCCTCTTCGGTGTCCTCTTCGGGATCTGCTTCTCCTGCCTGCTGGCGCACGCCATGGCCCTCAACTTCCTGGCGCGGCGGAACCGTGCGCCACGGGGCTGGGTGACGCTGGCGGTGGCCCTGTCCCTCGCCTCGGTGGAGGTCATCATCAACGCCGAGTGGCTGCTCATCACGGTGGCGAGGCTGGAGGGCCCCCCGG